TATTGTTCGCCGTCAGGAAGGCTGCTCTGTTGTGTGTGTGTGTGTGTGTGTGTGTGTGTGTGTGTGTGTGTGTGTGTGTGTGTGTGTGTTAACAGGCTTTCAATGTCCAGCAGGAATGAGGTCAGACCTCTTTCTCAGACAGTGGACATCGATACTGTGCTGACTAAGGGCTCCGGCCTTATTCATCTGCACCGCTTATCAGATGTCAGCCAGTCTCTCTGGCACTATGGGAAAAGGGGAAACGTATGAAACTAAATCAGTGCTGTCAATAYCCGGAAGGGGATTTCATTTGAGCCTGACAAATAAGGGGGCCCAAAAATAGTTTCTRGGAAGGATTAAAGGCCCTATGAGCTTCTAATCAATAAAAAATAAAATTTTGAGCACAGATTGATGCTTGACCAGTGTTACGAACTCTTTGCAGGCATCAGGAGCGCCCCGGACAATGAGAGGGGCCTGATGGATATGTTCACACTTTCCATCTGTTGTCTTGGAACAACAACAGACCACCCTGGGACGACTTCCTCCACTCGTCCCCTCCCCCCCAAAACCACAAACACCGATTTGCATGGAGATAGTTARCTGGGATCATTAGGCAGAGAACTTGTGCGACACGGATTTGCTGCAGACGTGTGTCCCGAGCAACATATTGCAAAAGAAGAGATTTATTGCCACAAGCATCAAGGAGCACAATCAATAATTTTTCAGCAGGCCGAGGTGATGAAACTGTTATTTCCTSTCAGAGCATCCTTCCCTGATTAGGATAAAGAGTGAACAATTGGCTGGGGTCAAATGGCACATCATCACTTCTGTTCCCACAGCCCCACCTTCTCCTGATAAGGTGTTTCATTTCCAGRCCTGAAACCAGTGGAGCATCTTTGATCATATTATCAACACTGGGTTCAGCTCCTGTCTCCATGCTGGCAGTAAACACGTTGACTGGTTCAAGTGTTGTGTCAACCTGTGCCCGAAGGACCTGCTGTACTGTATGCAAATAACACAAAGGGAAACATGTTTCAGCTCCCAGTTGGTCGTGTAGCAACTGTTTCATGTGGGATGTGGGGGGAGGACCCCCAGACAAAGGCAGTAAAAATACGCGTCTGCACAGCCCACCGTGCAACCACGAAAGGTATACGATTTTGAGACAAATGAAAGGGAAAATGAGTCTAATTTCATAGAACTATGCGTTACCTTCATGTCGTTAACGATGGCCTGGAATAATCCACCCAGCGCTCCACACTCCTTCTCCACAGACTCCATGGTGTCCAAAACAAACAAAAAGAGTGGGGGAAAAAACCTGAACCTCGTTCTCGGTTCAGGGTTGTTTACACATTTGTGTTCATCCGCCCTACGTGGTCCTCCTTTCTAACAACGTTACCGAGAGCCGTGAGGACAAAAAGAAATGTGGCGCTGGCTCCGTGGCACCGGCCGCCGCCGCCGCCGCTGCTGCTGCTGCTGCTCGCTCCGCCGCCGCCGCCGGGATGGAGCAGGAAGGACGCAGGGAGGGACGCGGTCCTGCCTGCTGGTTGGACTACAGCCGGGCCACATGCACCGTGGTTCCTCATGCAAACAACGGGAATAGGGGGGTTGAGAAGTGGGGCACCATGGGAGTCGGGCTCGGTCGCAGGGTGGGGGGACGCGGGGACGCGCTCTGTTGTTCAGCGGCGCAGCGCAGCAGATGTCTCCGAGCTGGAGACTCCAGTAATACGATCCATGGGAATGGAAAAGGGGCTGGTCACGTTGTTTTTTTTTTTTTTTTTTTTTTTTTTTCCCCCGGGCCAGTGAGAGGCAAGTGTTGGTCTCTTTGGACGACTGCGGACGAGTGGGCGTGTCACAAAAGGCGATTCTAAAGCGACACACCTGATTTGACGGAGTTTGTTAAAGGGACACACCTGAATGGACAAGCAAAAAAAGGGGCGATACCGTACGGCAGCACTTGATTGGACAAGAACAAAAAAGGCGTTACTGTACGGCACCACTTTTTTCTGGAGAACCCTGCTTGGGTCACGTTTCTCCTGGTTAACCTTAGTGTTGGGGTCAGGGTCAGGCTGTATAGAGGTCAAGCAGGATCAAAGGATACCGTCATGTAGGCCTCGTAGCCCACAGTGTTTATGCTTTTGACACGCCCACTCTTGTGACACGCCCACTTCGATTCCGCAGATAACACCCTCTCGTGAGAGGAGGGAGCAAGGCACAACACCCCCTCCTCCAGCCCTCCTCTCACCTCATGCAAACAAAAGTAAAATCCATGACATGCAAAGCAGGATTTGCTCGGTTTTATTTGTGTATCCGCGCACGTGTCTGCTGATAAAGCTCGTTTGAACTTAACTCTTTCCGGAAGCAGAAGCATGTTTTACACCATTATCACCATCATCACCTCATCTGTTCATCAGAATCAACAAAAGACAGGTTCAAACAAAAAGGTCAAAAATTGTAACACTTTTGTGTGATAGACTATCATAAATAAAGAAACAATGAAGTCCTTACAACAAATATAAGCGTTTTCGCAATTTTTTTACATTAAAGCTAACAGAGCTGCATAGTTCTCTTCATTAAAGCTAATCTACATATTTAATTTATGAATAAAAACGATTATCCTGACAAGGCCATGGGAAGTGAGGGTGTGCAGGGTGCTGCAGCACCCCCTGATGGAAACCAGAGGACATGCATGTCCAAATACAGAGTTAAAAATAATGGCAAAAAATAAATAAATAAAAGATTAAAAACAGATTTAATGAGTGTTGGGTATGTTTCAATTCTAATACCACTGTAGATTGATATTACTGACTTTTGTAAATCTTATTATATATTTTAAATTCACACTGTTATTTATATTCAAAAAGAAACAACAGGTCCTCTGGATGGGTTCTTCTTTAGTGAAACGTTTCGTCTCTCCTCCAAGAGACTTCTTCAATCTGATGAGTTTCAGGTGAACTCAAGCCCTGCCTCCACATGGTGGACAAACAGGTTAGTCACATGCAAAAGAGGCCCATCGCCTAACAATAGGCTTGATTGATTGTTATTTATATTGAAAATGTAGCACACAATTAAGAGGCAAGCTTTAGTTCATGATTACAACATGTTAAGATACAATCTGTTCAAGATATAGAGCAGAGAGGTAGAAGACAACACATACTGCATACTTGGTCCTTTTCTATTATTATTATTATTATTATTATTATTATTATTATTATTATTATTATTATTATTTTACCTGTCTTTATTACTTGCAATGAACGCACTGATTTCTAATTTCCTCTTTCTTTATTTACAAACTAAATAGTAATGGTACACAAGGTGGACTCCACCACGGCTTCAGCTTAGACCACAAAAGTTTGGATGACTATACTGTTTTTAATAAATCAATGCTTTCCAAATGCCTGCATTAATTTACAGCTGGTGGCTTTTTGCTGGGTTTCCTCATAGTTTGTTCAGATTTTTTAAAGTCCTAAAGTCAGTTTTTACTAAATGAATTTCCTCTGCAATTCTGAGTCATGGTGGTTTGTAAATGCTACCGCTCTGCAGAAAACTGATTGTGTTATGTAACTTTTCAATTGCTCTACAGTTGTTTCTGTGTTTCAGACTTAAAATATAAGTCTGAAAGCTAAGATCAGCTCTCTGTGTGACCAGAAATCTCAGAAGTTATGTTCACATAATCTGTTTGTGTGTTTAAAACATGTCTATAGGATTTAAAAGCTCCAGCCCAGGAGCCCACATCTTCCTTAATCCAGGRCTGATGGCCCATCACGTTAAAACCAAATGCTGAAGCAGTGCCAACAGAAACTCACTGAGCAGGTTTTTGTTGTGGTAAACACAACTTTCTTATTGGTGGTTTTGTTCTAAGGGATAACGAGTTATTTTTACACTTGGTGTAATAATTAGCAGACAGTCTATTTTTAATATAWGATAAATACGGATTTCTTGAAAATGCATGCCAACACTTTTTTTTTTTACCATTGTTTCATCATTTGCTTAATTTATGTATTGTGCAGTCTATTTTCCCTGATGCCTGGAAGTTTGCTCAGATTACTCCCATTTGATCCAACAGAAGTTTCAAACTATCGGCCAAATTCTGTTCTTCCTATTTTTTAAGTTACTTGAAAAAACATTGTTTAATCAACTACTTCAGCATCTAGAAGCTAATAATATGCTAAGCAATAGCCAATGGTTTACGCACATCAAGGTCAACCTAGTCTGCATTAATTTTATTCACTGAACAAATATGTGCTACTTTGAACAAAGGTCAAGTAACTGGTGCTGTATATATTGATTTT